AAGACTGGTGCACTCACATGCCTGGAATATGGAGGGGATCGTCTTAGCACTAAGAGTAAAAGCAGAGGGACACCGATGGCCTGTATGCGCAAAGCCTAAAATCTTCAAGACAGCCCTAAAGCTCACTATCACATAACCAACTTTGACTCTTTTTTTATAAAATCCTGCTAGTTGCTGTAACTATTTCCATCTCACAAACAGAAGGATGAAACAAAACAGTTACATAAAATATATAAATCTGGGACTCATGTTAAATTTGAAAATAATAGCGTTCATATTGTTCTTTCCCTTTGACCAACTCCGCAGTTATGTTGAGCAACAGAAAAAGTTTACGAGTTAGAGCCATCACATGCAGGCCTTCAGCACATCGTGAAAAGCAGAAAAACAAACAGAAATTTAGAGGCACGGGGACACACACCAGGCAAAGCAATATGTACGAAAATCCCCTGGTTTAAATCAGGCTTGACATATGACAGAAGCGAAAACAAACTCAGAGTTGGAAACTGGTGTAACCCCAGCCTTTCCACCATATATGAAACCCCAACAGCTGGTTCCACTTTGCCTCATCACACAATTGCTCATTTACAGTCAGGTATATTACCAGAACCTCCATGGACCTTTTCTTTTTTTGCATTACTTAAAACTTAAAGAGTGTATTTACACATATTGTGGCTGGTGGAAATAATAAACATTTGGTGGGCTGCCACATTAAATTGCTGATTGTCTCAGCTCTAAGGTTTAGCTGGATTGGAAGTGCTGATGCTTCCCCCTTACCAGAAAACATTTTAATAAGGTTTACCAGCCAAACCAGAGCAGGGCGACTTTTGGGGTTATTGTCTTAATGTTTTTTACCACTAAAAAAAACCCCAAATATAAATCAAGTACAGAGGATAAAGTCATGCAGATGATATTGTTCAGGGCAGACTCGGAGACGTGAGCCTGTTAGGAAACAAAGGCCAGACACTGCAGTGTGAACCAGGCTCATAGCGTAAATAATTAATCTGTTGACAGTTCCTGGAATAGACACATAGGCAGTCAAGGGCTCGTTAGAGTGATGCTCTGTCCAAAATCCATTTTACTGTCAAACGCCCATCGCGTTTAGTGTAGAAAGACAGCTGTAAAATGTTTGAAGAGCACCTTGAATTCATGTCAGCTATAATAAATTTCACTGATGAAAAGTTAGCTGAAATAAATAGCAACAGTGAGTTCCATCAGTTCTGTCTATCCTTTGTTGGAGCGTTTCAGTCACGTTGCTACAGAAGTCTCTTAGAGAAAAGATCTGTGTTAGCTGTATATAACACAGTTATTGGCCACTTAAATATCACACTAAGTTGTGTAACATGCACCTATGAGAACACTATTTAATCACAGAATATAAAGCAGAAAAAGATGCTTGAGATAATTCAAAATTGTGTTTTTAAATAAATATGTATGTTGGAAATGTCTGCATGTTTTGGCATCAGACTGCATTTGATTTAGACAATCAAATGCAACACTTAGAATTGTAAAGCCTATAATGAGAGAGGCCACAAGATAGCGATAGCATATTTTATGATTCTGCATTCTTTTCAATTACAGTGTTTTTTTAACATTCATTAGTACTGCATGCTGACTACAGTACAGTCGAAGTAGAACAAAGGGAACGAGATTACATTAAGGCTAATGAACTACACTTAAGATATATTTGGTTAGTTCTAGAGAAACATCTTTGTGAGGCGTAATTAAAAGGTAACCTATTTAACTGCTTTTTCTCATCCATTGCAGCAACTCACACAGTTTGGCATGTAGAGGCGGTGAAGAGGACCTGAAGTTCAAACTGAGCAACAGAAGAGGGTTAGGAAAGTGAATTTCAATGTGACATGGTTGTTAGTGCCAGAGGTGAGAGGACAATAGCCAGACTGCTTCAGGTAACAGTAACTCAAACAACCACTAAGGTATGCAGAAGACCAAAATTTCATCCAGGCTAACCAAAACTGGGCAAGATTGGAAAAACATTGCTTGTTCGGTCTTTATTTCTGTTTTGACATTCAGATGTCACAATTTGGTGTAAACAACATGAAAGCAAGGATCCATTCTGCCAGTATCAGTTGTTCAGTCTGTGGGGCATATTTCCTTGCCATGCATGGGGTCCCTTAGTACCAAGTAAGCATCATTTAAACACCTACCCAAGTATTGTCTATCTCTTTATGACCACAGTGTATCCATCTTCTGACAGCTGCTTCCAACAGGAAAATGTTGGTCTTTGTGTATCCACAACAGTGGTACCTATAGGATAACTTGACTGCTCATCGAGAAACATTGTTTTAATCTGACAACACTGTTTAAATGGCACAGACTGCATGTGTTACCATTCTGCACAAGATCTCCAGATTGCAGCTTTGCCAAAGCAACAGATGAGTTGACGAAGTCTGAAAGTGACGAGTGAATGGATGCTGAGCTCCAGCTCAATCTGTACTACATCCAAAGAGAGAAAGATGAGGATGAAACAGCGGATTTAACATGCTGATGTTGACAGAGATTTCATTAACCACACAGCACATGCCCTGAACCAAAAGATTAAATTATTCAGACTTCTCTAAGATAAATTCAGAACATATTGATGTGCTACCACAAACACTTTAAGTTTATTCTTTTGTGTACTGACCTTACAAAAGTGTGAAGCAAAAGTCAAGCAAATAAATAATTTTCATCCACATTTGGTCTTCTGATACTCCTAATTCTATTTTCATATCAAGGGACAAACATAATATTTACTTTCAACAAAGGAATACATGAATAATTGAAAAATCTCTCTCTCTCTGAGAGAGACCGATAGATAATTTCGCTCTCTCTCGCTCACTATCTATAGAGAGATCTACAGATAGAGATATAAAGATATCATATGATTTAAAGCCCCTATGTTTAAGAGCGATAATGACCTGTTCTATAGTTCTAACTATAAACACATCACTCACACAACTGATCAATAAAATTGTTGGTGCAACATCAAACATAGTAATAAAAGTTTCTTTATAATTCTTAAGCAAAATCCTGAAGTTTTGAATTTTAGGGTCTGTTATTTTAAATAAGTAGATGTAAGTGGATTTATTGGTTTGTCCTTCTGCAGCATGCAGGAATCAGGAGAATGAGAGCAGATTTGAAGGTAGGTTATTTATAACAGAGCTACTGGCCAAAAGCTACGTTGTTATCCATTATCATCCCATGACATGAAAAACATCAAAGATGGATATAACACAGGTATTCCTTGTAACAAAGAAATATACAAATGACTTTATACACAGATTAAAGTGGTGCATATACACTGTGAGGTGCTTTCTGCAATTAGGCAGAATTGGATGGTAGTCTGTAAGACTTCAAGAACAGGAAGTGAGTGAAGGCAGAGGCAAGGATTAAAGGGTGGAAGCTGAAAATGGAAGAATGTTGCACCACATTCAGGAAGGAATTGAGAAAGGTTCTGGGTAGTAATGAAGAGTTACAAAATGACTGGGAAGGTACAGCCATAGTGCTGAGAGAAACTGCCAAGAATCTGTTTGATGTATCCTCTGGACAAAGGAAAGAGGACAAGGAGACTTGGTGGTGTAATGAGGAAGTAGAGTATTCAAAGGAAGGGGTTGGGAAAGAAAAAGTGGGAGATGAAGGAAGAAGACAGTAGTACAGAGAGGCTGGACATACGGCATACAGAGGTGGCAAAGGAAAAGGCTTATAGTGAATTGTATGTGAAGCTGGACAGTAAGAGAAGAGAAATGCACTACATGGAATAAGTTGATGAGCCAAGCCAAGCCATGGCAGAGTCGGGGTGAGGTGATGATCAATGCTGAGAAAGAGCTCTACAGATGTGATGTTTGCTTTGAGAGTGCTGATGGAGAACTGCAGAGGTCAGAGGGAGTTATACGGGTCTTTATGGATCTAGAGAAAGCATGATAGGGTTCCAAGAGAGGGACTGTGGTAACTATGAGGAAGTCAGCAGTGGTAGCAAAGTATGTGAGGCTGGTGCAGGACGTGTATGAGGACAATAAGAGTGATGAGGTGTGTGGTTGGACAGGTGGGATTTTATCAGGGATTGGCTCCGAGCACATTTTTTTTTTTTTTAAATTCGCAGAGGCTGACAGATGAGGTCAGGTAGGAGGCTCTGGGAAGTCTCTCCCGGAAGACAGTCTGAAAAGGTGGAGGTCTGCACTGAAGAGAAGAGGAATGAAAGTCAGCAGAAGCAGGACAGAACACATTTGAAGGGGTAGGTGAACATGCAAGGAGTAGAAATAGTGAAGGTAGATGAGTTTCAACAATCAAACTAAAGCAATGTATAGGTGCACAAATGAGGTGAAGAAGAGAGTGCAGCAGGGTAGAGTGGGTGGAGATGAGTGCCAGGGGTAATTTGTGACAGGATTGCAGCAACAGTGAAAAGGAAGATTTACAAGATGCCAGTGAGATCTGCTGTGATGTATGGTTTGGAGATGATGGCACTGACAAAAACATAGAAGGAGCAGAAGACGCTCAGATTTTTACTGGGAGAAACAAGAGGAAAATGTCAATATAAATCACTTGTCAGTTTTACCTGAAAATGACATGTTGCCTCCCAGGAAGTGCGTCATGTTTACCACTGAGTCAAATCATGTGCAAATTTAAATCATTTTTTTGGGTTTTACAAAGAAACCCAATGACAGAGTACATGGTAGTCTATATCTTACAATAAACACATGATTTAAGAACACAAATCTTTCATCATGATGAACTCTTTTATTCCAAAAACCTAACCTGAGCAGAAGTCTGCACTTAAACAAAGGTAATTAATTGGGGATTTGCTTTGCGGATATTAAAAAACCTGCATGTATAACCTTTAAATTCACCAAAGAATGACTCAATTATATTTGAAATATCAGCTGTAATTGCTCCAGTGCGTTCCATCAACCACCACTAGCGCATCTCATATTGAGACTATTACTCTCTGTCAACTCAGACTTGCTCTGGAACAAAGAAATGAGACAAGTTTATACAAAACACAGGGGGGGTGGGGGGGGGGGGTTCAGTACTTCATTTGCCATCCAAACTTAAACTTATGATTCAGTTCTTTTTGTTTATTGCCATTAAACTATTTTACAGTCACAACCTCTCTTGGCAAGAGTGACACTCACTTTTATATGGAAAAATGGGTTTAAGATCTCCAAAAAAAAGAACAATTTGCATTTTGGAAAACGAAAAATATGGGTCAGAGACTTAAAACATACACAGCTTTAAATCAAAGTGCTTATGACAAATAAAATACAAACACTTCATTGTATTACTAATAAAGAAAGCATGTCTCCAGTTATAATCTGAGGCAAACCAGAGTGGAGCTGCTGTTTTCATGTACTTTTGAAGTTTAAGCAAATCTTTCAAAAAGAAGAAAAAAACCAAACAGAATCCAGGGAAAGTGTTGAAATAGTGAAGGAGAAGGGATGTCATCTTGAATAAGTCTCTGCAGACCAACATGATGAGAATTGTATTATTTAATGTTGTGGAGGATCAATCTAAGGTTCAGGCAGAGGAAAGCGTGTGTGTTTTTGGTTTTGTGATGCAGCTCTTCGATTTGGAGATGCAGGGAGGAAAGTTCAAACAGATGATGGTTCTTCCTGGAAAAAGTTAAAAAAGAAAATGAAAAACAAAGGGTTTGTGTCTACCTGCTGTGAAATCCATTACTGTGCTGTTTCAAATTTCACATTATGTCTCTAGCCTCCAATGTTGCATATCAAAAATACAAATAAGTGCTCCATGGCACAACATAAGAAGTTTTGGGACATTGTTTAGGTTGTTTGATTAGACTGCTAATATGCTAAATGCTAGCAAGCATACCCCTTAAAATCTAGTAATGTGAAAAGCTCTTGCGCCCACCCCTCATTTCTTTATATCTTTTAAGGAAAATGGGAGCTGAAAGCGATTTAACAAAACCTGTAAATGCACATGAAAACAGGGTCTAAGAAGCAAATTTAGTGTTTACAACATTCTAACAAGCTTAAAAATCAATATTTGTTATGACCAAATGTATTATTCAACACAGCCTGAGCTTTTATAGCCAAGCTTTCTTGTCATTTCTTTCAGTAGTCTTTGGTAATAGTTCTCCAACCTTGAATGCGCTTCTTGAAGCACAATCAAAGCTCTTCTTTGGATGTTGGCTGCATTTTGTTCCATTCTCTGTCAAAAAGATCCCACACCGCTTCAATAATGTTGCGGTCTGGGCTCTGAAGAGGCCAGTGCATAACTGACAGTGTTTGATTGTGTCACTTTCTATTGAGGTGTACTTTTAGTGCACTGGCAGTGTATCACAAGCTAAAATGCAACCCCAAACCATGACAAAGCCGTTATACCTTCCTCCCAACCTACTTCATACAGAGTCATGATGATTTGAACCAAACATTTCGAATTTTGAAATGAGCAATTTTATGAAACCCTCCATAAAACTTTTGCTACTGATCTCCAATAAATAAAAGAAAACATTCTTCTAAAACATGGTGCAGTATTAGGACTGGACTGAAAAAGAGTGAAAGAGCACCCAGTAGCCAGGGTAAAAACAAAAAGCTGTGATCTGAAGCTGTGCAAAGGATGGACAAAACCATGTTGAAAATGCAAAGACAAATCTTGTGTATTCCTGGAGTAAGTCGCGACAATCCACAAAATAAATGTTGCAAAACATGTTCACTTCCACTAAATCTTCAATTCAAATGCTGATTGGCTGTTAAATATTTCTATCCATGAAGTCAAACGTAAACACATGAATCCAAGCAGGCAGGTAGTTTTTAGCCACGCCCAGAGAAATGCTTCCATGTTTAATATGGACATCACTGTGTCTACCTGATGTTGGAGAGCTTCTGCAGAAGGATGGAGAACTTCTCCAAAGATGGGAGGTCCAGTTGAGGGTTTTTAAGGAGCAAGGAAGCTGTTTGGAAAAACTCTTCACAGCTACATGCATCCAGAAAGGAATTTAAGTAGCCTATGAGCACAACAACAAAAGCAAAGAGAGCAGGATATTATCAAGGCAATCAGTTCTGATGATCTGCAACACATTTTATTCAATGTCAAAACTTCTAAAGAGATGGGAATTATCAGCTTAATTTTGCCAGCAAGAAAACTACACGAACACACTAGCAAACCATGAATAACACAGAAAAACAGGAACACATATGCTGGTCAGAGTGTCTCTTAGAACATTGTATTTCCATATTGTCACTTTTAACTTGACCTCAAACCTCAACCATACACAAACTCACACAGGGAGATGAAACAAAGGACAACAACACCAGCGCACACAGATGGGAGCTGTAGATCTCTTAAATTAATAACAGCAAACGTTGACCTTAAAATGAAGACGATTTCAAGTAAACAAACATTTGTTTCTGCTAAAAGTCACATTCCTGCTCCTTGAAAAAGTAGCTGTGTGTTAAAACACACATGCAGCGAGGGAATACAATCTGAGCAACAGAGGAACTTTTTTTGGCTGGTGAAGCAGCGCCACTGGCATCAAATCACAGCGGAAGATGGATGGTGAAGAATAGCACCAGGCTTAGATAAGAAAGGATCAGACAGATACAGTGGGGCAAAAAAGTATTTAGTCAGCCACCGATTGCGCAAGTTCCCCCACTTAAAATGATGACAGAGGTCAGTAATTTG